TAGGAAAACTGAACAGCAACATGCAAAAGATTGAAACTAGACCACTTTCTTACTCCATACACAAAAATAAATTCAACATGGATTACAGACCTAAATGTGAGACCTGAAACCATAAAAATCCTAGAAGAGAGTACCATCACTAACTTCTCTGACATTGACCTTAGCAACTTTTTTCTAGATTGGTCCCCAGAGGCAAGGGAAACAAAAGCAAAAGTAAACTATTGAGACTACATCAAAATAAAATGCATCTGCACAGCGAAGGAAACAAAACTAGAAGGTAATCTATGGAATGGAAGAAGATATTTGCAAATGATATATCCAATACAGGGTTAGTATCCAAAATGCATATAGAACTTGTAAGCCTCAACACCCCAAAAAGCAAGTAATCCAATTAAAAATGGGCAAAAGACATGAACAGACATTTCTCCAAATAAGACATACAGATGGGCAACAGACATGTGAAAAGATGCTGAACATCACACATCATGAGGGAAATGCAAATCAAAACCCCAATGAGATACCGCCTCACACCTGTCTGTATGGCTAACATCAGCAACACAAGAAATAACAAGTGTTGGCGAAGATGTAGAGGAAAAAGGAGCCCTCTTGCACTGTTGATACAAATGCAAACTGTGGAAAACAGTATGGAAGTTCCTCAAAAAGAAAAAAGTAGAATTGTGCTATGATCCAGTAATCACACTACTGGATATTCACCCAAAGAATACAAAAACACTGATTCAAAGGGATACATGCACCCCTATGTTTAAAGCAGCATTATTTACAACAGCCAAATTATGGGAGCAGCCCAAGTGTCCATTAACTGATGAATGGATAAAGTACATGTTTTGTACACCACACACACACACACACACACACACACACACACACACAGGAATATTATTCGGGCATAAAAAGGAATGAAACATTGTCATTTGCAATGACAATGATGGAGCTCAAGAATATAATAATGCTAAGTGAAGTGAGTCAGAGAAAAACAAAGACCATATGATTTCACCTATATGTGGAATTTAAGAAGCAAACAAATGAACAAAGGGGGAAAAAGAGAAACAAATCAAGAAACAGATTCTTTTTAAAAAATTTTTTTTAACGTTTAATTTTTGAGAGCCAGAACATGAGTGGGGGAGGGGCAGAAAGAGAGAGACACAGAATCTGAAACAGGCTCCAGGCTCTGAGCTGTCAGCACAGAGCCCGACATAGGGCTTGAACTCACAAACCACGAGATCATGACCTGAGCCTAAGTCAAATGCTCAACTGACTGAGCCACCCAGGAACCCCACAGATTCTTAACTATAGAGAACAAACTGGTAGTTACCTGAGCGCAGGTGGGTGGGAGGATGGATGAAATCAGTGATGGGAATTAAGAAGTCCACTTGTGTGATGAGCACCAGGTGATTTTTTCTTTAAATGACAATTTAAGGGACATCTGGGTGGTTCGGTCAGTTAAGCATTTGATTCTCGGTTTCACCTCAGGTCATGATTTCATGGTTCATGGGATCAAGCCCAGAGTTGATCAGTGTGGAGGCTGCTTGGGATTCTCTCTCTCCTTCTCTCTCTGCCCCTCCTCTACTCACATGCACTTTCTCTCTCTCCTCAAAATAAACAAATAAACTTGAAAAGAATTTGAAAAATTTAAAGTAATAATGGAGAAAGGATTCAGGAAAGTATATGATGGGGAATGGCATTAAAAATATTCTTCTGGGGGCGCCTGGGTGGCTTAGTCGGTTAAGCGTCCGACTTTCGCTTGGGTCATGATCTCGCGGTTGGTGGGTTCGAGCCCCGCGTCAGGCTCTGTGCTGACTGCCAGCTCGGAGCCTGGAGCCTGTTTCAGAGTCTGTGTTTCCCTCTCTCTCTGACCCTCCCCTGCTCACGCTGTCTCTCTCTCTCCTAGAAATAAATAAAAATATTAAAAAAAAATATTCTTCTGAATGTTTTATAATAATATACAAAATTTTTTGCTATAATTTGCAGTGAAAAAAAATGAGGTTGCAAGTTTTACACACAATATTTTTTCACTGCTCATGAATATAAATGCCAAGAGGGATTATATTAGATTTGGGAGGACAGGTGATTTGTCTTCCGTCTATTACACTTTGCTTTGCAAGTTACCCACAAGAGGTTTACATTGAAATTACAATAGCATTACAAAAAAAAATCAATGAGTGTCCCTTAGATGACCACCACCCTTATCTGAGATTGCTTTGTCTCCCCATTCATCACCACCACCCCTCTCTCCTCACAGATATGCTGAAAATGAAAAGATCAAAGCCCCAGAATTCACTTTTGCTGGTGAGGATTACAAATGTCCCAGCCCATATAGACGGGTTTAGTGGAGAGTTCCAGAATGGGTGGGTGGGGGCTGTAAGGACACAAGTCTAAACGTCTAAACCAAACTGACTCCATGACAGGCTTTAAGTTTCCCCTCTAAACTAGAAGGCCTGAGTTTCAGCTTCCCTGAAACTATCAGGCAGTGACACATTGTCCAAGGCAGGAGAAACCACCCTTGCAACACCCAATCAGGAAAGGCCAGCTACCACCCTCCACATTACTGCCGGAGAGGCCTGAAGATAGAAACTATAGATAGGACCCTGTGGCCTAATGTTAAAGTTAACCCGTTAGTCGCCGAACAAGACCCTAGTCTCTCTCTGTGATTGGTTGAATTTAAAGGTACTCTAAATGTTGTAATTGGATCCCGCCAAAAGTAACGAATACTCTAGACAATGTGTATGGTTAAACCCGCTGTCATTGATGTTGAATAATTATGATTGGATCACTTTTCCCCTGCCACAACTTCTGTAACTCCTCTTTCACAAACCCCATAAAAACCCTACTCTTCCATTGTTCGGGGCTCTCAGCATGGATCCATTGCATTGGTGAGGTCTGGGAGCCCGAGCTCGAGCCAGTAATAAAGCCCTTTGCTTTTGCATACGTGACTCGGACTCCTTGGTGGCGTTGGATTTTGGGGAGATCGCGATCTGGGCATAACAGGGGCAACTGCCTATTTTCAAATGATTATCTTGAAGACAATAGGAAGAAACATAGCAAGATGAGCATTTATGGATGACCGCTTGGTTCTGAAATCCGAAGTATTACCCAAGGGCCAGAAGAGATCCGACTGGTGCCCGCACAACTCCATCGGCAAGGGAAGCCCAGGTGATCGTCACACTTTTTTTTGGAACAGGCTTCTCATTGGGTGAAAGCCTAGGACTCTTAAGCTTCCAGCATTTTGCCCATTACATTAACTCATCCTTTAAAAAGTCAAAGTGGAGCCAAGGAAAATCAGAGAGCAGATTCAAGCCTTGGGCCTTTGGGCTGTCCAGTGTAGGGGCTTTTCTGGAGGGTCATCTAATCCTGAATGTGCTTTGTACACTACGGGCCGTAGGAGGTAATCGCACATGAAATGCTGTAGCTAATCAGAGGAGAAGGGTATAGAACATATACAGGTTTTAAAATCCATACATAAAGACACACACAGAGTCTGGAGGGAGATTTCTCAGGGTATTAACATTTCTGAATAATGAAATTATTGGGGATGCTATTTCCCCTGCGATGCTGATCTGTATTTTCTGAGCTTTCTGAGTGGGCATGTGTTGCATTTACAGTATAAAGAAAAGATTTATTTTTATTTTTAACATTAGAATTGAGGGATATGTATAATAGGACATAGAAAAGACTCAGAAGGAGGTGGAGTAAGAGATATATTATTATTTTCTTGTTTATACTTTCTTTGCATTTTCTAATTGTTTTGCAATGAGACTGCATTCCATTTCCCATCAGAAAAAAAGCAGTGCATTTACTTAAATGAGTCCTAGATGGCTTCTAGAGAAATGTTTATTTTCACAACTAGATGTCTTTTATTTCCCCGGGAGGGGAGAGATGTTTTTCAGCTATTCATGGGCTCTGGTTCCTTAGACATCTACCTTGGGTCTGACGCTGTCAAAAGTATTTACCAAGCATTTATTAAATAGTTAAGACTGTGCAAGAGTTCCTTTGCTTTATTCATTCTTCCAGCAAGCATATTTGCTATTCTGTGCTTTAAAGGCATTGGTAAAACCATTTGTCTCTGCCCTGAAAGCACTTCCTGTCTTGAGAATAGGGACGAGTTAACATAAAATTACAGAACAGCGGGCGGGCGGTCAAATTTAGCAAGCTCACAGTCACCTGGAGGGCCTCTTCTATGCAGACTTCTGGGCTCCACCCGCAGACTTTCTGATTCAGTCTGCATATCCCAGCCGAGGCTGGTGCTGCTGGCCTGAGTCCCACCTTTGGAGAACCATTGTGTTATAAATGATGCAGAGAGAGGTGCCCCCCACCCCCAATCCAGTTGTCTCCATCAGATGGTGTATTCCTGCTGAAGGGTGTGAACTTGGGGAAGGGGGTGGGGAGGATTGGCCCACAAGGCAGGATTTGCAATCAGTCCACAGAATCCCTGAAGCCTTAAGAGGTGGATCTCTGGGTCACCACGCCTCCTCTTTGAGGCTCTGACAACAGCCATGAACTCTTTCCCTGTTCCTCTCTGGGACAGAATTCTCCCCAACTCCACTTCTCTTCTACCTCCTCCCAAAACTTTCTCCACGCACCAAAGAAAACTGAAATTCCACCCTCTCCCAAAAGGATGGGCCCCTACCCTGTAGGAAGCTAAGAATTAAAATAAAAAGGAATCCACCTTGTTAAAATGGTTCCGAGGCCATGCTATACAGATTGAACGTTTGTTTCCCCAAAATTCATATGTTGGGGCCTACTCCCCACTGTGAGTTGGGTATTAGGTGGTGGGGACTTAGGGGGGTGGTGATTAGGTCACGAGGCTGGAGCCCTCATGTAGACCTCAGAGAGCTCCCTTGCCCATCTCAGCAAGATGGTCATCTAGGGACCAGGAAGCAGGCTGTCACCAGACAAGGAATCTACCAGCATTTTTATCTTGGACTTCTAAGCCTCCAGTGTATTCTGTTTTGTTGTAGCAGATCCAACGGAGTTAGACTTACCGGTGGACACACAAGGACACTGAGCCCACCGCTGGCGAGACAGACCACCAAAGTACAAGCCCTTCACGAAGAAGGCTTCATTAGTAATATTAGCACAGTAAGGCTCTGCAGAGACTCTTCCAAATATCTGTGTATGTTTTCCTGGGAGGGAAAAAAAAAAAAATATCCACAAGGCTAGAAATGCTAATAATGCTGACCATGTTTGGTAGAATCTTTGCTAAGGATGCAATGTCCCTATTTCGTGACAGTTTTATAAGTGCATAAGATAACCCAATGGTTATCCAAGCCTGTGATCATATACTGTTATAAAGGTTTCCTATAGTAGTAAAATAGGGAGGCCACTTACAAAGCACTTTCTGGATAAAGGTCAAAAAGATTATCATAGTGTTCCCTGGATAGAAGTTCAGCTATATGTAGACTAAAAGTCAAACAGAAACAGCATAAGCTTAATTTTCTCCACCCACAAACATTACATTTTGTCAGCTGGGTCAGAGTTTAAGTGTACCAGGACAACTAACTCTTTCAAACGATTTGTAGAGGGGCGCCTGGGTGGCTCAGTCGGGTCAGTGTTCAACTTTGGCTCAGGTCATGATCTCCTCATGTGCGGGTTCGAGCTCTGCGTCGGGCTCTGTGCTGGCAGCTCAGAGCCTGGAGTCTGCTTCAGATTCTGTTTCTCCCTGTCACTCTGCCCTTTCCTAGCTCATGCTGTGTCTCTCAAAAATAAATAAAACATTAAAAAAATCAAAATGATTATTGTGTACGTAAGAACTAACCAGCCCAGTAAGACATAAGCTAATATTTTCTGTGTGCAATACAATGATAAGGTGAAAATTATTACACCTAATTTATTGATAGGACAACTAAGACAGTGTACATAGAAATCCTTGGGGGGTTTTTTGGTTTGTTTTTTAAAAATTTATTTATTTATTTATTTCTAGGAGAGAGAAAGACAGCGTGAGCAGGGGAGGGTCAGAGAGAGAAGGAGACACAGAATCTGAAGCAGGCTCCAGGCTCTGAGCTGGCAGTCAGCACAGAGCCCGACGCGGGGCTCGAACCCACGAACCGCAAGATCATGACCTAAGCGAAAGTCGGACGCTTAACCGACTAAGCCACCCAGGAGCCCCAATTCTTGTTTTTTTTTAATGGGCATTTATTTTTTTAGAAATATCACCAAAATGGCCCCAAGAAATATGTTTTACTACTTATGGGGGTGGGGGGGAAGTTAGATTTTTTTTTTTCTTAGCATACACCTGAATAAATTCCAGAGGGGAATGAGGAGATTAAGTGTAAAAATTGAAATTAAAACACATTAGGAAAATAGAGTGAACTGACTTCAGAATGTGGTTGGATTTTCTAATAAGAGCCGTGAAGGAAATCACCACATTTAATTACATGCATCTTTTAAAGATTCTTTCCATCTAAAAATATCATAGACAAGATAAGAAAGTAAAAAACAAATTTAAAGAAACATTTACATCATGCACGGATGAAGTTATGGTATATTATAAAAAGGAATTTTGGGGCACCTGGGTGGCTCAGTTGGTTGAGCATCTGACTCTTGATTTCGGCTGAGGCCATGACCTCATGGTTGTTGAGATCGAGCTCCACATTGGGCTTCATGCTGTCAGCTTGAGATTTCTCTCCCTCCCTGTGTCTCTCTGCCCCTCCCCCGCTCATGTGTGCGTACTTAAAAATTAATTAAAATTTAGCAAAATGGTCAAAAATCTACACAATTCACTAGAGAAGAAATACAAGTCACAGGCATATGTACGAAAATGTTGGACGTCATTATTAATGAAACGCGCTTTAGAACAATCTTAGATCGTGTTGTTATTTGTAAAAATCAAAGATTTTTAAAGATGTGAAATTACTGTTAACGACCCTGGAGAAGTGGTTCTACACATCTAGTCTGTAAAGCATAAGATAGTGGGAAATTGCCTGTTAAGTATTAAGGGCCTTTGAAGTACCTGTTGTCTTTTTTCTCCTCGTCCACTTGTCCCGATATATTTTTTGTTTACAACTTGAATGAGATATAATTAGCACACAAGAAACTGATGTATTTAAAGGACATAATTTGATAAGTTTGACATATGCATATGCTCATGAAACTATCGTCACTCAAGAAAATGTCCCCCAAATATTTCTACGTAATATCTATTCCCTTTATAACCTATTATAATCTATTCCTTTATAGCCCAGTGCTCTTTTCATGTCCATCCACAAGGAACCACTGTTGTGCTTGCTGTCACTATATATTAATTTACATTTTCAAGAATCTTATGTAAATTATGTAATACATTACATCATCCTCTCTTTCCCCTTTGGTCTCTATTTTTCATTCAATGTAATGATGGTGAGATTTATCCATGTTCTTGCCTGCATGTCACTTGTTCCTTTGCATTGCTGAGTAGTATTCCATGGGATAGGTATGCCCTCATTTATTTATTGAGTCACCTACCAGTTGACATAACATTGTCCATTATATTTTTCTAGACATTTATTCTAGGGAAACAATCATAGACTTGTTTAAAGATTTATATATAAAGATATTTATAAAAATATAAGTTATCTTTATTATATATTTTATATATGTATTGTATACATATTACAGCATTACTTAGATTATCAAGAAAGTAGAAGCTACCTATATGTCCAACTATAAAAGATGAATCAAGCAATTTATAATCACTCCCACTTAAAGAAAATGCAGCCTTTTAAAATTAGATTTTCAAATAATTCTTACCAACACGAAGAAAGTCTTTGTATATCATGTTAACTTTTTAAAAAGGGTACAAAATCGATTATCTGAATTTTTAAAGAATAAAATCATATGAAGTACTAGAAGAAAGAAGGAGAAGGGCGCCTGGGCGGCTCCGTCAGTTAAGCAATGACTGTTGGTTTCTGCTCAGGTCATGATCTCACTGTTTGTGGGTTCCAGCCCTGTGCCTGGCTCCATGCTGACAGCTCATAGCCTGCTTAGGATTCTCTCTCTCCCTCTCTCTCTGCCCCTCCCCTGCTCTCTCTCTCTCAAAATAGATAAATAAACTTAAAAATAAATAAAGTAAAATACACTTAAAAATTTTTACCCTTCATGTGAACACCAGCAAAATTAAAACACATATGCACAAGGGTAGGTACAGCTTTGTTTAAAATATTGGAAACAATGGGGGACCTGGGTGGCTCAGTCGGTTAAGCGTCCGACTTTTGCTTAGGTCATGATCTCGCGGTTCGTGGGTTTGAGCCCCACATCGGGCTCTGTGCTGACTGCCAGCTCAGAGCCTGGAGCCTATTTCAGAGTCTGTATCTCCCTCTCTCTCTGACCCTCCCCTGCTCACGCTGTCTCTCTTGCTCTCTCCTAGAAATAAAAAAATATTTAAAAAAATATATAGATGTAAAAATTCCAAACAAAATTTTCTTAAACTGAAGCCAATAATATGTAAAAACAACAACACAATATAACCAAGTGGGATTTATTCCAGTAGTGCAATAGGTAGCTTTAACATTTAAAAATCAATCAAATATAATTCATCATATTAACAAAAAAAGAAAAACCANATTTCAGAGTCTGTATCTCCCTCTCTCTCTGACCTCCCCCCCTCCCCCCGCTCATGCTGTCTCTCTCTCTCTCTCCTAGAAATAAATAAAAATATTTTTTTAAAAATATTGGAAACAACTCAAGTGCCTGCATGCAAGAGGGTTGGATAAGCCATGATATATGCACACAATGGAGCTTAAAAGAAAAAAAAAAAGAATGAAGGTCTCACAATGGACTGATAATTTTCAGTAATTTTCAGGATATGCTGTTAAATGAAAAAGCTGTGTGCAAAGGAGTGTTTATTCATAGGAAGGATAGACCAGAAATAAATGAGATTGGTCACCTTTAGCGCAGGTGGATGGAACACAGTAGAACAGATGAGGAGAGTGACAGTTTTTTGAGGAAGCTTTTTGTATAATGTTAACTTTTAGAACCATTTTTATTCTTCACATACTCAAAGAATAATAAATAAACATGATAAATAGATCAATTTGTCTCTGGGATAAAAATTGCAGATAGAATGTGAGCAGAAACAATCTTAATGGTATTGAAAACAAATGATAACCCGGGGCACCTGGGTGGCTGAGTCAATTAAGCATCCATCTCTTGATTTCAGCTCAGGTCATGATCTGACAGTCTGTGAGTTCGATCCCCACGTCAGGCTCCATGCTGACAGTGAGGGGCCTGCTTGGGATGCTCTCTCTCCGTCTCTCTCTGCTCCTCCCCACTCATTCTCTCTCTCCCTCTCTTTCTTTCAAAATAAATAAATAAAACATTAAAGAAATAAAATAAATGACAACTCTACAAAAAGGGAATGTAGGGAACCAATTAAGTAATTTTTGAACACAGTAATTTGATTTTATACCCTCAGGCTAAATACAAAAACTATTGACTAGTTTGACTAGTTAGTGGGAGTCCCCGCACCCCACCCCACCTCCGGCCCCATAGTGGTATATGTTAGCAATTCTGAAACCACTTTCTGGAGACTCTTAGTTTGAGCAAATAATAGGATCCAGATTTTTCACCATCAGAGAATAAAGTCACAATTACATGAAGGGAAAGGCTAGAATGTACCCTGTGAGGTTGTAATGGAATTGGAGGTGTTAGCATAAACATAGTTATTAAACACACAGAGTTAGAAATGAACATGAATCTCAGGACCCAAACATATTCCTGGTTCTGCTTGTCGAGATGTCTGCCAGCAATGACACTTTAGAAGCAACGAATGCGTTCAGTGCCCATATATGGTTTTTAAAGGTCATTCTCCACTATCAGGACCTAGAATACTTTGAAAACTGCCTGATTCCAGGGCTGGATCTTCTTATTGTACAGATAAGCAAGGCTGTACTCAAAGGATGTTGGGAGCCTGTCAAGAAGACACTGGAGCCAGATTGAAGGGGCTCCCAATGACCAAGCCTGAGACAATGTAAGCATCAAAATAAATAAAGATTAAATGAGAATCCAGGAGTACTGATCCTGAACAAATAAGTGAATAAATAAATGAGAAGGAGGAAAAGCATTTCTTTACAGTAGAATGTAAACTAATAAGTGAGGAATGATGGAAGAAGAGAATTACCAACATTTGTAACCACCATAATGATAATTGATTCCGGCAACAACCAGCCAAGTTGGTAAAAATAATGGGTAAAAGAAATGTGAGATTAGCAGGATGTTTACATGGTATTAAAGTTATCTCCCTACAAGATAGTTTTTAATTACAAAGGGTAAAATAGTATCCTTTACAGAAGAACATGTTGGCAGACCCAGTCCTTAACCGGCAGATCAAACTTGACATCTCTGGTAATGTGTTAACCTGCACACGCGTCCCTGATCTGATGCCCTGAGAACAAACACTGCCTCGCGTTTGTGACGTTGCTGCTGAGGTAATGTGGATCTAATTATGAGGAAACATCAACAAACTTCAAACTGTCTTACAAGATAACGGGCCTGTACTCTTCAAAAATGTCCAGCAAGAAAATCTTAAAGAGCCAACAAGAAAGC